TATAATTGATTAAGGTCTACAATAAAAAAATAATATTTTATTTTAAAATTTAATATATGTTGTTCTTATTAATACATTCACGTTAGGGTATAATAAATTTTAAAATTTAAATTAAACATACTGAAATAATTTTTGAGTTTAAATAGAATGATCCACAATCAACCCACCTTATTAAAACCGCCCACCCTTTAGCCTAGCACAACCAAATAAGAGTAATCCAGCCCAACAAATCTAAGAGAAGCTCAACCCACTCTATCTAACTTCCACAACCCATTAAGTTATTAAGCCCAAGCCGAAGCCCAAACCCAAGCCCAAGCCAAGGAAACGACCAGCAAACCCAAACCCAAAAACCACCCAATCCAATATCAAAATCAATAGCCCAAAAAAAATAAAAAAATATATATATTACCTTAAACAACTTAATGCCATCGTGCCTTGCTGAGGCCTACTCTATGTCCTACTTTGATGTTATGCACTATATTAACTTTTTAGGATATATTAAATAGAATATTTTTTTAAAAAAATAATTTGATTGAATATCGATAGTTCTTCATTAAATAACATTTACATCTAAATTTATACTTAAAATTATATTTATCATTTATTTTTTAGATAAAATTATAATTTGATAAAAGAACTACCGATATCTAATTAATTATATATATATATATATTGTACTTGTTATATTTTAAAAAGTGAATAGCTCAATAGCGACAATGAGATCTAGAATAGATGTCTTCAAAAGCACAACAGTGACTAGCCACATCTAGGGATGTAAATCTGGCCCAGCCTGAGCCAACCCATGTCGAGCCTTGCAGGCTCCTGTTAAAATTCAGACCGACTCACGGGACAAGAAATTAGGCTCAAACCATAGGTATGCGGGTTGGGCCTTGGGCTGGCCCAGTAGGCCTGGACCTGGTCTCGGGCTTGAATTGGGTTTAGGCAGGCCTAACCATTTTTAAAAAAATTTTCTACCAAAATTTTATTATTTTTCACTAAAAAAGACACTGGGTCTCGAGCGGGCCGGGCTTTGAGCAGACCTTAAGTAAGTTGATGGGCTGGGATGGGCTTCAAAATGATGGCCCGAGCCCAGGCCCCAAACGGGCCTAAATGGGCTGGACCCACCCTAGGCCGCGGACGAGCTTTGGGCTGCCCACGGGTCACGAGCCATTTTTATACTCCTATATCTTCCCAGCTGCATCATCTTTTACTCCAAAATCAATCACTATAGATTAAAAGTTGACTTTTTAATTTTTTTTTTAAAAAACGTATAAAAAAGTAGAGAGTTAATGTGACAAAACAAAATTAAAAAGTCAAAAAACTAACTTTTAATTGAGTTCTCAAAATAAGCCAAAAACTAAGGGCGGACAAAAAACATATCCATGAGAAATTTAAATTATAATTTGCAATATCTAAGTTATTGAATTCATTAAGCCATTAATGATTTCACATTTTTATAATAGATATAGTAAGAAGTATTTTTGAAAGATTTATGAAATTTGAAATATTTAAGTTGTTGCATTCATTACTCAATGAATGATCATAATGGATATGATGAGAAGTATTTTTGAAAGATTTATATAATCTGAAAAATATTTCTTTCAACAATGACAATTTTGGAGACACATGTACAACAAATGTTTACTAGTAAATGCTATTCTACTAGATTAAAATTTTAGATGATATGTCAACAAGGGTAAACTAGTCTTACAAATTATTTTAGTGCTTTCGAAGTCTCTCTCTAAAAAACCTCTCTCTAAAAACCTCCACCTCGGGCCTCGTTGTTGGCCAGTCGGTCGCGCCTTTGGCAATGGTGGTCGGCTGGCCTCGCCTCTTTTGTGCGTGATCGTTGTTTCCTTTTTAATAAACTTGAATCCCCATAGTTTTTCCTTATCTTTCTCTGTTCTATTGGGTGTTTGGGGTGGGTTCAGCCTTGATGTTCGGCGATCTCTAGAGAGAGTTGTTGTTCTTGGGGGAGTCCGATGGAGTTGGATCTTGGGTCTTTCAGCCATGGATTTTGTTTGGTGGGAGTCGGCATTTCGGCTTCTAGAGGAGGTATTTTCGACCTCGGGTGTGAGTTGTTGGCCAAAAGGTGTTTTTGCAGTGGGTGTTTCGATATTGGAAGCAAGTTTCGAGCATGGAGTGGGTGAAGTCCCACGAAGTTCGGCGGAAATGTTAGGCGTAGGTGAAGTCCGATGGAGTTTCAGACGTGGGAGAAGGCTGATGAAGATGTTTGCGTGGGAGAAGGCTGGGTGAAGCCCGATCGAGATGTCTGGCATGGGAGAAGGCTGGTGGAAGGGTCAGGAGTAGAACAGCAAGGAGTGCATGCGTCTTGGCAGTGGTGGTGTGGGTTGTTGGAGGTGGTGTTTCGGCTTGTGGAGAAGGTATTTTCGACCTTGGGTGTGAATGTTTGGCCAAAGGAGAAGGTTGGTGGAGGGTCTGGTGTGAGTGATTGGCCAAGGTATTTTCGACCTTGGGTGTGAGTTTCTGGCGTGGGAGAAGGCTGGTGGAAGGGTCAGGTGCAGACCAGCAAGAAGTGCTTGCGTCTTGGCAGTGGTGGTGCGTGTTCGGATGAATAAGTTGTGGTCAGGTGTTTTTCTCGGATGTGGAGTTTTCCGGTGTTGGCTTTGGAGTTTTCTCGGTATATGCGTGGGTCTTGGCGTGGTGATTAAGTTGTGTTCAGATGGGTGGTTGGTTGGTTCCGATGGAGTTCCGGCCGTGGGAGAAGGCTTATGGAGATGCCTGGCGTGAGAGTAGGTTGGGTGAAGCCCGATGGAGTTGTCTGGTGTGGGAGAAGGCTGGTGGAAGGAGTGCATGCATCTTGGGGAGTGCAGCAGCTTAGGTTTTAAAATATTTGGGTTGATTAGAGATGTGCAGGAGTTTGGGTTGTTTTTGTGGGTTGTTTTTGTGGGGATTTATGTATTTTATTTTTTAGTTAAGTTCTTCTTAATTTTTTCTATTTAAAAAAAAATCGTGAGGCTAAGGGGTTAGTTGTATGGATGCGAGTAGTAGTAGTAGGGGTAATTTGTACTTTCCGAATCTCTCTCGATACATGTCATCTTCCTGTACTTTTAATTTCATGCTGTTAATGAAATTTTTCTTTACTGATAAACAAAAAAAAAAAAAAAAAATCGAGGTGCGACACTCTGAAAGGGTATTGGTCTGAACACTCGAAAAAAAAAAAAAAAAAAAAAAAGAGGGTAAACTAGTCTTACTATAAATAAAAATGAGCTAATTTGTTTTTGTCTCAAATTTATTTGATATTGACAGTTGCCAATGCCATCCTCAAACAAACACAATGAATAAGTCAAACAAAGTACCAAAAAAAGAAAGAAAAAAACTTGATAAAAAAAAAAGCCAAATAAACAAGATGTTGATCTTTACCAAATGTCACCATTTACTTGATAGATTTATGAGAAATAAAGAACATATTTGTAGTACGCAACTCACCATAAAAAATGTTGACCATATCTAATAAGAGAGGGTTAAAATAAAATAAAATAAAAAATAAAAAAGAAGAAGAAGAAGAAGAAGAAGAAGAAGAAGGGAGGAACAAAGAATTATGATAAGTTTGGTATCTTTTCATTTCATGCATTGACTTTTCAGAAATCGGAAAAAAAAAGAAGAAGTTATTCTGTTTGATTGAATTTTTAAGTTTTTAAAAGTGAAATTAAAAAAAAAAAACTGGTTTGACAAAATCAAACACCAAAAAAATATATATTTAAAATAATTTTCATAAGAAAACGAAAATTATATGAAAATAGTGGATTTTTCTTATGTTTTCAAAATTTTCACCAAATTAATTTTTTATTTTATTTTTCAATTAACGGTTTGAAAACTCAACCAAACATTATTTTTATTTTTCGAGAATAGTTTTCAAGAAATTAATCCACTTTCTAAGTTTTTTTATTTTTTGAAACTCAGTCTTTGTACAAAAATAAAAAGATAGGTTTATGAACTTTTTAGTAGGGTGTGGTAAAGTTATACAATTTAACATTTTTTTTTATTTACAAAAATAAGAAACCTTTATTTTTTAAGAAGTAAAATAAAACATATTTGATACATGTATTTTTAAAATAAATTAAAATTTGGGTATAATTTGGTATTTTCTACAAAAGTACACTTTTTTTTAAAAAAAAATCTTTTTTGGATTACAGCATCTCTCTACTTTTTTACATATTTTTTCGTAAAAAGTCATAAAAATATATTTTATTTAGATCATGCTAAACACCCTCTTAATGTTACTGAGCTATCGATGGGATGATTAGAGGTGGTAGGAAATTGTTTTCCAAATAAGTAAAATACAATTTTTTTTCCTGGTAAAATTTTATTAAATTTGAAAATTATATATATATATATATATATTTAAAAATAAACAGACATATAGGACAATTACAAAAAAAAACTCAAGGTTTAACGCTTATAATAAAATAAATTATGAATTTTTAATTTTATTAATTTAAATTCTAAACTTTTGATTTGTTTTCAATTTAAACTATTTGCTTATTTTTGTTAATCAAAACCAATAAAAAAATAATATTTTAGTCATCAAACTTTTAAAATATATAAAATGCCTGTTTGTATTAAGTTTAATGGCTAAAATATTAATTTTTTAATTAGTTTTACTTAACAAAATAGACATATGATTCAGATTGAAAATAAATAAAAATTTAAATTTTACATTAATAAAAATAAAAAATTATTTTTTTTATAAGAGTCAAATTTTAAATTTTATTTATTTATTTGTTTGTAAAAAAGGAGAGAAATGATGGAGCAAAAGTGTGAAAAGCCTAGGATTAAAAAAATTCTAAAAAACCAATTTGAACACTAAAGTGAAATGAGCAAGGGCAAAAGTCACAAAAAAAAAAGTGTAGCTCAAATAATTCAAAATTGTTAAAATAATATCGTTTTAAGCGTAAAACAACGCAAAACAACATCATTTTAATAATTTTAAGTCATTAAAATCACACTTTTGAACCCTCAAACATTTACAGAATATACATGTACACACACAAAAAAAAACACAAAATCCAACAAAAATTCAGGTTTTGCAATCATCCACTTCCAAAAGTACTCAATTTAAGTGCAATAGGTTGGATCTTTCTTCAAACCCAGAAAGCCATTTCACCGAAATTTGTGTTCTCTCTCTCAAACAACCCCAATTTTGCTCATTCCTGTAGCCCTTTCTCGTACCCATCAAGCAAACCCTTCATCGATCGAGTTTCAAAACCAAACCGAGAAGCCAAACGGTTTTGATCGAGACACAGATATGTGGGTATTGTCAATTCGCGACCCAGTCAGATTGTGAGGAGAGTTTTTTGGTCGGAAATTGGAAAATTTATGGGCGGCGATCTCCGAGAACCAAGCGTTGGCGCGGCGGAGGTGAGGCCGGTGGTGACGTCACCTCCGCCGCTGCCGATTGGGGCGGCGCGTTGGGACAGAGCAGAGGAAGCGACCCAGAAGATTATTTGCCAGGTTCAGCCCACCGCCGTGTCGGAGGAAAGGAGAGGGAAAGTCATAGACTATGTTCAGAGGTTAATCAGAGGTTGTATTGGTTGTGAGGTGAGAATCACATATATGCAATGTGTATATATATTTGCATCTGTTTAAAGTGGTGGTGTTTATAATTTATTTTTTGTTTTTGTTTTTGTGTTTTTTAAAATTGAATTTTGAAAGTTGTGCTTTGTTAGAGAGGTAGTTGGAAATATGGAATTTTTGTGTATAGACTGGTTTTTACTTCATTAGTTGTGGTAAATACTTGAAGCATCATGAAAACCCTTTGTTTGTTTTGGGCATGTTTAAGTGCAATAGATTGACTCAATTGATACATTTTGTTGATATGGTTACTGTGAATCAAATATTTAAGTGGTAGTGGTAAAATGTGAGGACATTGAGACAGCTTGATTTTTTAAATAATGTGTATCAGTATCAAGATATGTATTGGTATCAGCAATACGGTCATATATCAGTCGATATCGGACTATTGACTGTTATAGTAGTGAATGACCGTATCGGAAGCCCAAAATTCAGTTCCATAATGGCTGATATTTAAAACCCTAATGCATAGCTTTGGAATGGCAATTCGAGAACTTTTCTTTGTATTTTTGAAGCTTGTTATTGTCAGTTTGTTACCCTTGGATTTCAAGCAATCTATATGCTCGCTAGATTGTGGCAAGAGATGTTATCTTTTGCCTTGCAATTGGTTTTGTGATGTGGTAACAGAAGTCTGTTATCTTGTGACTATGACTAATTGGTCTAATTTTTTTGTTTGATCTACTGGGATGAGGTTTTGGAAAGAGCAATCGCCCACATAATATGGCTGATCATTTCATTGAATGATGTTTTTGAGCATCATATATGCAAAATGTTGGACATTGGTGCACCTATAAAGTATCAATTCGTAATTTATATTCCGAGTTGATTCTTGAGTTACTTGTTTTTTGTCGTCATTGTTTCGAAATTAATGTTGTTGTCCTGTTATGTTTTATTGCAAGAGGCACTTCGCTCTCTCTCTCTCTCTATATATATATATATATATTTATATATATATATATGTTTGTATATCTGTGGGTGTGGGTGTGTGTATGTGTATGTGTATATATCTATGAGCTTCTGGCTGGCTGCAAACGATTATGTGTACATGTTTGTGATAGAACTTGATGGTTGGCCGTTGAATTGAATGAATAGAGAGGTTGGGAAACTGGGAAAGAGACAAGCTGATGTGGGTATTTATCTATTATTGAAGACTCACATAGACATACAAAAATCATTAGAAAGGGGTATAACTAATGTTCCCAAAGAGGATTAAGTAATCTAACTGAGCCAAAACGTGATGACAACGATCAACTAGGAAGCAATGACTAAAAGTTTGGTAGCTTGGAGTTCTTGACACAAAAAAACTAAATGTGGTCATTTTTTTTGGAAAATTTAGTCAAAACCCCTTCCATTGGACCCTTGTTTAGTGAAAAGGGCAGCCAAATTTATTTTTCTTCATAAATCCCATAAGGAGAAAACACATAATTGAGTAGGGACAAAGTAAAATATTTATTTATTTTTTTCTTTCTTTCTTTCTTTCTTTCTTTCTTTCTTTCTTTCTTGGACAATATTGCCAGAGTAACATGTTATTGTCAAATATAGTAACATGTTACTGCGAGACAGAATATATGTTATCGTCAAATAAAGTAATTGTCAAACAGAATAACATGTTACTGTTACTGTTACTGTTTACATCAATTTCAACGGTAATAATTTCTTTATTTTTTATTTTATTTTATTTTATTTTTTAAGAATTTTATGGTTAACATGGATTTTATTTGATAGATCTTGATGAGAGAATTCTAAAAATATTAATTTTATTAAAAATAAACATCTACATCAAAAGTTAATATTTTGATAATAGTGATAATTGTTGAACTTTTTAAGGAAAACTTTTTGTATTTGTCCTTAATGCATTAAAATTTTATTGTGAGGGGGTTTTGACCAAATCCCCCACTATTTTTTCATTTATCAAAAAAAATGATCTCTTATAGGTTTCTTGTGTCAAGAACTCTAGTCTACCTACTTAATGGATTTTCTTGGTCGTGAACAAAGGATTCTGAAGTCAAGTTTTCTAAAGGAAGAGGGAAGTGAGAGCTGGAGAATTAGAATAATTCATGTCATTGAGCTGAACAGGAAGGTTACCTTACCACTGACTGCAATAATGAGACTGACATAAGATTCTTTTTTGTTTTTGGGAAATATTGAAGGGGAACCCTTTCTAAAATTGGTTAGGGATGGATAAAACAGAGTCCAGCATTTTCCATTTTGAGGGAGGGAATCATAAATGTTATCACATGGGAATAATTATGGAGCTTTTATGTAGAATTAATTCATGCCGAGTGTGCTTTGGATGCAATCAGTGGCGATGCTGGATTTATAGTGGATGCAATTAATGGAATGAGGATGAATTGGTTCGGCAAATTGGAAACTGCTGTCAGCAAATATGTAGTGGTCCCTTAAAAATTTGCTTATGTTGCTTATTTGGTTAAAGGAATTGAAAAAATATAAAAGAAGGCTGCAAGGAAACAAATGTTCTATTGAGGCACAACATCAATTCGTGAATGATTCCCGGTCTTCACTATGAGGAAGAGGACAGAAACACTAATTTCAATGAATGGGAAAAACTGCCAATGGAAGGGGGCACAATGGCTTGGAATCTATCAATATTATTTGTGGTGCGGTGATTGGTTAATAGTCAAGTTGACATCATGGTTTTAGGTTGTTGTATCTGTTGTGCTTGCATGATAAATGTAGTTGGAGTAGTGTATGATTTTTTTTTTTTTTTTGTTTCTTTTCCGTTTTTGCCAACAAATCCCTAAAGACTGACTAATACACATATTCTAACCCTATTTGCTATAGTTTGTACCTTTTTTTTAATGATTCTTTGCTGATTTTTTTTTTTTCGTTGATGAAACATAACTTTTAGTGAATTTTATGACATCTAAATACATGATTAGCAAATGTTAGTAACAATTTGTTATCGGCATTAGATGATGTATGGGTTTCATAGCCAATGTTAGTAACAATTATGTTCTATGATCAACCTATCTACTACTTCCAAGACTAAGATTGTCAGTCATGGCAAAATTGATGAATAATAATGGAGAATAACTGTTGTCAAATTACTTTTAATGGTAAACTGATTTTTGATTCCACGTAACGTCTTAGGCATAGACGTGCATTTTTTAGATTCTCTCCCCTGGAACTATATATTACTATTTGGATAACTGAATGTTTAGTTTGTAATATAAATTAAGTTCCTCGCAGTGTTGACGGAGGTAGTACATTTTTCTCTTAGTTGGTTATGGTTATAAGATTGTAAGGTTGAACATAATGGTGATGAAGCCAGTACTTTGAGTGTTGGTTCTTTTAAATAGTTCTCCTTAGTACTGTCATGTTTCCAAATTAAAATCTAACCAAATTCGATATATGTAATGTTTAACAAAACTTGCCAGTACTTTTTTGTTAACACTCATGAACGATGATACTTTTACCCATTTTGTGAAGTAATCAACAGCCACAAAGATGAAACGATGTCCATTGGAAGCCTTAGGCATAAGTGAAATTTCTGTTGAAGTTGATGCTGAGATGGACCAACCAATGGTTTTTGGTGATGAAATTTTCAACAATTTCTGATATTTGTAGGCCTTTAGCTGATTTATGACTTTCTGTAGGTTCTTTTCCATTATTCTTATAGTACCTTGGAGAATTACAGTAAATTATTTGGCTTTCAATTTGTATCTATATTTGAACCAGACCTACTCTTCTTTCAAGTTTACTTTGATTTATATTATATTATGTTCATAAAGTTCTCATTTGAACTTTCTACAGGTCTTCCCATTTGGATCGGTACCACTAAAAACATATCTTCCTGATGGAGACATTGATTTGACAGCCTTTGGTGGTGCAAGTTTTGAGGATGCTTTGGTGAATGATGTGGTAGCTGTACTTGAAGCGGAAGATCAAAATGGGGCTGCTGAATTCGTAGTGAAGGATGTACAACTAATTCGGGCTGAGGTTTCTACCTTTCACCCCATATATGTTCTGAATATTTTTGCTAGATATAAAGTGTGGATTTCCTTAATTTCCTTGTTGTATAGCATTTTGGCATGCTTGAAATTTTCAATAACTAGCTGTTATTTCCACAGTTTGTCTGTATTTTTCGACACCCCTTTCTCTCACAGGTGGGGCCCCACCCCACGCCAAAGGGGGAGCTGTGGAAGAGACAAATTTGTGACTCATTCTAATCATTGTTATTTTTTTCCTTGGTCTGTTTTGATGAAAAATTACATCACTTGTTGATCACTGGATTGTTTTTCAAATGGAAATGAGCTTTTGTAGTTAGGTGGGTGTGGTATTCAATGAGAGTAAAGCATTGGTGAATGTAATTTGATGGAAGTGTTCAATTCTACAAAGGGGGACATAATGATTTTATTTTTTCCTCACAAAGCAATGTCCTTAGCATCTAGAATTTGTTATAAATATTCCCAGTCTTTGCCACATATCTTTGTTACCTGACACTCCTTTATCCTGATCAATTATTTTATTCACTATGGATATTCAGACTTCTTCTGTTTGAACTCACAATCTGACAACATGCTTCTTCTAATAAATTTTGTTCCGTGGTTATGAATGAGAATTTTGGTAGGGTTCAGTTTCCAAGCTTGACTTAGTAAAACTTTCTCTCCAATCCCTGTGGGGACGTAGTTCTTTGTGTCTTTTCACTGTCCTGTATCTATGATCTCTCAAAATTGGCACTATTTTTGATTGAAGCTCTTAACCTATTAAGTTCTTAACATTGCTAATTTGTTACATATATGTGATGTAGAAGTAGAGGAGGGCCTAGGGAATGCAACACTATTCAAGTTAGGGTTTTGTGGGAAAGGAAATGATTGGAAAGTGTTGAACTTGTCTACTAGGGTTTCAAGGAGTAGAAAATTTAAAGGCTAGAACTAATTTTTCTTCATATAGAAGAATTACATTAATATATATAATATAAGCTTTAGAAATCTCCTACTTAATAAGGTCATGGACTCCAAAATAGGAAACTAAACTTTTGACTACTAAAAGTCATCCTAGACCAATTTAGTCCTATAAAATGACATATAATTATATAACCTAATCACAGCTTGATCCATGGGCAACCCTCCTAATCCATATCTAGAAAATTTGGAAATTAAAAAAGTAACGTTGACTTCTAAAATGAGTAAAAATATATTATACCAAACCAACAACAAACAAATGTCTATAAACATTTAACTGAATCAAGATCCAAGATGTAATTATCTTAGATCCTAACTGGGTCCTGCATCATCTAAGACATGCCAAATTAATGGTTGAGCATTAGAAGCGTCCTGTCCACGTCTTTTGTACACCTTCAAAGGATGTTTCCATGTTCCTTCAATGTTTGCATGGTCATGAGCTCTATGCATTCATTATTTTCTTGAAGCTACGAGCTTTCTTCTTTAAGGAAGCCATAAACTAATGCACGGATTAGAGAACAAACTTAACAAAGCCTTATCTCAACTATTTGGGTCTGTTACAACAATTTCTTTTGCATTTTGCTCTATGAAGGACCGTATGTTCAATTAAGGCCTCGTTTGGCAAGAGGCTATTTTAGCCAATTAGCCAAAAAGTTACTAAATTAGCCAAAAAGCCAACAACCCATACCAAAAAGTCAAAGATTCTCTTTTCTCTCTACTTTTTGCACATCTTTTCGTAATTAGCCAAAAAGTCATCCCAAACATACAAGTTTTTTTTACCTACCTTTTTAGCCAAATAGCCAAAAAGTTACTAAATTAGCCTGTTCCCAAACGAGGCATAAGTTAAACCATGTGCTACCATGGTTTGGTCTTTCCTCTTTTTTTCACAACATTATCTTCAATGTCGATATTGCCAGTCTTCCTCGTTGTAATTACTAGCATTTGCTTTATATTGTAAGATTGGCTACGTTTGACAATAGGCTAAATTAGCCAAAAAGACACACAAAAAGCCAACGATTCCTTTCCATTCTCTCTACTTTTTGCACGTTCTTTCGTAAAAAGTCAAAAAGCCATTTTCAAACACTTCAGTTTTTTTTCACATCATATTTTAGCTAAATAGTCTAAAAGTCACTTCCGAAATGAAACACTTTTATCTTCTAACAAATTTATTCATTTTTTTATTTGTTTTTATTTGTTTTTACATATTCATCGCAATAGTTGAGATGGTTTGGTCATATACAACGGAGACCAACATAGGTAGTAGTGAAGAGATGCAATACAGTGACGGTAGATGGTAATGTTAGGGGAAGGGGTAGACCTAGATTGATGTGGACTAGTGTAGTAAATAGAGATAAAAATCTTCTTAATTTGACTAACGAAATGGCTTCGGATATTGTCGAGTGGAGAAGAAGGATCCATGCAGCCTACCCTATTTGATGGGACTTAAGACTTGGCTTGGTTTGATTTTGGTTTGGTTTATTCATTGCAACAGTTGCCTTTAAACACACTCTTCTATGAACATATTGTTTATTTACAGTGTCTTTTAGATTTTCCTTTAAATTGCACAAGTGTACACTAATCACTCAAATACGAAGACAACACTCTTTAACTAAACTTATCTTGTTTAATTTATAAGCAACATCATTAATGTATGCACAATTGAACCAAGGTGGGGGCGTTATTTACACTTTGATATCTCTTGGATTTTGATCTTAACTAATTCCTCTTTCATACTCCTATTTTTATTGAAGTACACTTTTCCATGGGTAAGGTTGTGTACATCTTGCCCTCTCTAGACCCTATTATTAGCAAGAGCCTGATGCACTACACCACATTTTTTTATTGTTTTTTGTATACTTAATATCGTATTGACTTATAAGACAATCCATGGGTGACCCCTAGAGCCCATGTCAACAATTTGCAAAATTATCAAACTTTGTTTGATTACAGTTGAGCAAATTTGTGCAAACATAATATTAAATTCTCATATACTCAACTCTATCAAAAAAGTGGTGTGTGCATATTTATAAGCCACAAGACTTTTCCTATTCATGTAAGGAATATAATAGTTTGAGAATTAAGAATTTTTGGCCCACTAAAATATTCTAGACCTAATAATATTTGGGGAGCATTATTAGTATTAGCACTTCATTTTTTATAATCGCACTTCAACTTTTGTCATTATGTGTATTGAGAATAGTATTGCGTGTAAATTTTAATAAAAAACCAAAATATGGAGCGCGATTATCAATAAATAGCACTACCCTAAAATTTTATAGAACTAATAACATATTGACTCATAAGATGACCTTTGGGTGACCACTATAGCCCATGTCAACAATTTACAAAATTATCGAAGTATTTATGATTACTAAAACTGGATAAAAAGTCATTAAATCTATCCAACAACATTCTATGGGTTGAAATCAGGGCTGTTCTATTGCTGTGAATAATAACTTGAGAACAATAGCTAGAGTTTGTGTGCAAAGAAGAAGAAAAAGGAGAGAACGACTGAAGGATAGATGCACTTAAATCTTACAAGGGTTATGCAAATTCACATGAACATAATCTAAAATTTTCATAAATTCAACTCTCTCAAAAAGAAATGTTGCATGCATGATTACAAGTTGCTGGATTTTTCCTATTCCTACAAGAAGTATGATTCCATAATTAGAAAGTTCAAATTTTTTTGTGGGGGATAAATAAAGTCATTTTTTTTGTCCAACTACAACATTCTAGTCCTAATAAAAACTTCATAGAAGAGCCAATAACAATGTAATTTGACCCATAAGATGATCCATGGGTGATCTGTACATCCCCTGTCTAACAATTTATAAAATTACCAAAATTTTCATAATTACAAAATTGAATAAAAAGGGATTAAATACGTCCAACAATGTTCGAAGCTATAAAATAAGTAAAAGTACTACTCAAATTGACCTTGAACATGATCATATGAAGTTCTAGTTGTGCTCCATGTGGAAAGACCAAATTAGAAATGAACATAGTCATAAAATGATGCGAGTAGCACCAAATTGAAGATAAGTTAAGAGACAATTTGGTCATCTACAATGCTTACTATTTTGGCATTATTGTGTAGATTGGATCTCTTTGTAATTGTGAAAATGGTTTATGGACAAAAACTCCTTAGTGTAACATTCTAATGTACCAAAAAAAAAAATATATATATATACTCTTTAATACTCCTTTATTCTATTCCTGAACCAAACAAATGTAGGACTGGGTTATCTTATCCAGCCCTTCCTTGTCCCTTCTCATTTAAACACAAAATTGGGGACATTTACTCTTAGGATTCCTTGTCTTGATACCAATTGCTTCAAGGTTTAACAATACCGTATTGTCTCGTCTTGGGAACAAATGGTCCCATGTATTCAACATTACTTGTACTTGTCTTAAAACCTCTTGATCTAGAGTTTTCTTTTTTTTCCAAAAGGTTTTGGGCATTCATAAATGCCATGCTTATGCTTGAACTGGCACATAATTGTGCACCAATATACTATGCTGTCCCTGTGTCATTCTCTTCTGGGTTCACAAAGTTATGGAATTCTCATTTAAGGTAATATACCTTTTTAAGTTGGGATTTTGTGGTTTTGATTATTGAGTTCAGATATTTTCGATTTAGTCTTGTGTACAACTCATCCTCCCTAACCAATTGAGTTGCTTATTGTTATCATTATTTTTCTCTACTTTTACTCATCTTGTTCTTTTCTTTTCTTTTTTTTTTTTTTTTCTTCTTCTTTTGCCAAATGGTAAAAGGTTTGTGATTTGGTATGCATACTTATATATGGGCCAAGCCACCCTTTGGTAGTGCATACTTGTATACATATATTTTCTTGTTTGTAATGCATACTTATATTTTTAGATATTGGATTCTCTGGTGGCAGGTTAAGCTTGTTAAATGCATTGTTCAGAATATTGTGGTGGATATCTCCTTCAATCAATTAGGAGGGCTCTGTACACTCTGCTTTCTTGAGCAGGTAGGTTGCCATCTTCAATTTTCAAATCTAAAGTAATGCCACTTATTTAGAAGTAAGTGACTCTACTTATCAAATAATGAAAGGAAAAAGGTGACCAACTCACTCACTAGTTCAATGATTTTACATGAATACATTTTGTGTAAGTTGCTTCAATAAGCCTGATATTGATAGAATTGGTAGTGCTAGTCTTTTATGTAATCATTGATTTATTTATATTGTCCTCCACCACTATGTTAAAGATATGGACACACAACTTCTTGAATGATGATTCATGTTACTATCCTTTGGGGATTTAGATTGTCAATGATTGCTCAGACTGTACAGTTTGGAATGTTCTTATTTCTTACATTTATAGTTATCTATCACTGTGTTTTAGTTACCATCCATTATCCAAGGTCTTTAATATGTTCAATACTTACATTTTTATGCTCATAGCATTGTAGTTTTTTGTTGTTTTTTCAAGAAAAATGTCAGTTAAGTGTAATTGATTCAATGAATATTGAAGGACACCTCTGTGTGTGTGTGTGTCAAAAATGAAAACCGGGTGTAGTATTTGAGAGAGTTGCACCTTAAGGGCACTGTTAGAATCCCTATTCTATTAGTTAACAAGAAAACTAGTCTTGCATTTGAAACTGGAATAAAAATGTTATAATGAACTTATTGTTTGCATTCCCTTACTCAGTTTAGGGAACACATAGATTTGTATTCCTGGTGTTATTGCTGTTCAGGTTAGATTCTTTGTGAGGAGTTAAAAAATCCCGGTAAATGACGACTGAACATATTTATTTTCTCTCTTTGCTATTTTGAATATGACAGTGGATTCAATTGGCTTTGGATGTGCAATTTATGTTACTTCTTCTTTTGTAGGTTGATCGCCTCATTGGCAAAGATCATCTCTTTAAACGCAGTATCATATTGATTAAAGCGTGGTGCTATTATGAAAGTCGTATCCTCGGTGCTCATCATGGCTTGATTTCTACATATGCATTGGAGACTTTGGTTCTATACATCTTCCATTTCTTCCATTCAACGTTGAATGGCCCTTTAGCAGTGAGTTATCGTGTAAATTGTAATTGGTGTATATTTGACGTGAAATTGACTTAACTACTGTGTTGCTGAATTTTAGGTTCTATATAGATTTTTGGACTATTTTAGCAAATTCGATTGGGACAACTACTGCATTAGTTTAACTGGTCCAGTTCGTACATCCTCATTGCCAGAGATTGTGGGTGAGCAACATTTCCTAACATTGGTACTGCATCGTATGGGTAAACTTGTCATTTGATTTATTTATTTATTTTGTGTGTGTGTGTGTGTGTCAATTTTGCAGCTGAGAAGCCTGAAAATGGTGGGAGTGATCTACTACTTAGTAATGATTTTCTTAGGTGTTGTGCGGACAAGTTCTCAGTTCCTTCAAGAGGGGTCGACATAAATTCGCGAACGTTTCCCCAAAAGCACCTCAACATAATCGATCCACTAAAAGAAAACAACAACCTTGGTCGCAGTGTCAGCAAAGGTAGAAAAGCTCTTCTGTTTTTCTTAACCCCATTTGTGAAAGAAACCTCTCAGGTTTCAACATGGCTTTACTTAATATGAGGCAAGGCTAGGTATATTTTATTTGTACTCTTGAATATTGCGTGCCTAGAATTTTATTCCACAAAGAACACTGTTTTCCAGAGTTGCAAGTCTTCTAAGAAAAATAATTGTAGATTTCTCACTATCATCAAGAAAGATTAGTTAAATTGTTTATGAGAAATTAGCTACTTAAATACGTTACTCAATTGATAATGTAAACCTTGTGTACTTCATTTTGAGCATTTCTTGGGAAAATATTTGAACCTATCCTTTATGTTACGTGCTTGTGTAATTATTTGGATTTTAGAATTAAAGATACGTGACCGGGATGGGCATGGAGTCCTTGAACACCTACCTATCGGATGTTCTCAAACTACCTCTTTTAATTTATTTATTTCACTCTAACTAATCAGATAATGACAACCTGTCCATTCCGTGCAGGAAATTTCTTTCGAATACGGAGTGCTTTCGCATATGGGGCCCGGAAACTTGGGCGAATCCTTTTGCAGCCAGAAGATGACATAGCTGGCGAACTCACTAATTTTTTCTCCAACACTTTGGATAGACATGGAAGTGGACAGCGGCCCGATGTTCAAGATCCAGTCCCCATGTCAGGTCACAACGGTTTTGTTCTTGCTTCGTTACCTTCACAAACCGAGTCATGTCAAGAAGAGAAGGAAATTTCTGAACTAAAATCTGCTAATTCAGTTCGCATAAACGGATTATGCAAGTTGGATCCTGATGGATCATCCGACAATGGAACCGTGAATGGACATCAAAATGGATCTATGAAAGTGGTTAACTCCACATTGTTCTTGGAAGCCTATGGTTCTGTAAATACCCATAACCGTTTTTCTGGGGATGCGGAAGATCTTGCAACTTCCAGAATTCATGGTCTTAAAATTTCTAATGAGTCACCTAAAGCTTCCCATCGAAGTGGCGAGGAGAGTATGTCCCAACGGGGTTTTGCATATCATGCTCCTCATCTCTATTTCTCGAGAAATGGGAAGCCGGGATATGGAAACTCTGAGACTAAAGAGGTAGAATCGTCTGGTTTAACTGCAGAGAGAGTTTCTTCTGGGCTCGTGCCGGTGCCTGATGAAGGAACAGGCATTTTTGTGGGCCATGGCCGGGACGAGAACTTGTCAGTTGGTAATCACGAGCACCTCACCACCATAGGATCAAGGGATGTTGGCTATCGGGAAAAGACCTCAATACGTGCCGCTCGTAGTCCGGAATATGAATATGTGAACTCATTGTCAGATCTCAGTGGGGATTATGACAGTCACTTAGGCAGTTTGCTATATGGTCGTCAGTGTTGCTATGAGCACTCAAGTGTGCCTGTTTTGTCTGTGCCGCCTCCACCATTGCCCTCCCAGTTTCAGAGTAAGAGTCCATGGGATGTGATTCGGCAGCATTCATATCAGTTCAAGCGGAATGGGTTTTCCAATGTGAATGCTAATGGTGTAATTCCGAGACCAGCTTTCTACCCCTTGAACACAATGCTAATACCAGGAACAACCTTTGGTGTGGATGAGGTACCAAAGCCGCGAGGAACGGGGACATATTTCCCAAATGCGGTATGAGAATTTTACACTCATATTTTTGGCATTTAAGATTGTTTTGGATGGACTGGATTAGATTGGATTAGCATTTCTAGGAGGATTAGTCGTGGGATTATCAAATTCCTTTGGATTGTGTGTCCTATCCCATGTTTCGATTGGCTTAAGATAATGGGGAAGGCTTGACAAAATCCTATCAATTTTATAAAGCCGTTTAGTCTGAGCCTCTGTTTAGTCCCGCATTCTGTATTGCACCCCCCCTTCTTGAGATACAATAATCCTCCATATAATGGGATACCATGTCTGGCTAGACTACTAGTTTGGAACCCAATTTTCTTAGCCAAACGTGGAATTATTAATCCAATCCCAAGATCACGTCCCTTCAAACAGTCATCACCTACATTTCATGTTGGTTTCAGTTCAGTTGATCTTGAAGTCGTTATTGTTTGCAGCTTCTTTTTTTTTGGCATATTGTTCAAGTGATCAGTGATACCTTGCAAGTGGTTTTATTGATTTTTTTTACAGAACCGGCCTCCATACCAGAACCCTTCGACTGGGAGGGGAAGGAATCAGGGACCAATGAGGTCTCCTCGTAACAATGGGAGGGCAGCGACACCAACAGAGGCAAACTTGCTAGATCGAAGGAGTCGTGAACTATCATCACAAGCACAATTTTCTGATCAAGTCAATGGGACGCTTGGGTCATCAGATTACTGTGATTCTGGTTCTCCTAGTGGAAAGGTGCCCCCTGATGTCAATGGTTTTGGGCACGTTCCATCAGGCGTGCCCTCGCCAGAAAGGACTGGCCAACTGAATTCTGCTTATATGCTCACTCAAACTTCTACTCAAAGCCTTCCAACACCGGGGATGCAAAAGTCACAACCTGTACCGGGTATGAATCAAGATAGGTATGAGAATTTCGTAATCTCTGAAAATTTTCACCTATTGTTACTGTGTTGGTAGACATGTTCAGGGCCTGTTTGGTAATGTCTATGTTTACAAGAATTTAAAAACTGTACAAAAATTTATTTGGTGTCTATTTTTGTTGTCAAAAAATTGTAAACAGTTCATAAAATCTACTAATTCTTAGAACCAAAAAAAAAAGAAAAAAGAAAAAGTTGGTTTCAGTACTTCAGAAAATAAATTTCCATTCCTTCCTCTCACCCCCTCTGGCCACCAACCACTGCTCATCACCAGGATTGGCCACAACATCCGGCCATCCCCACCTCTGGATCTCCTTCAGCCACTGTTGCTGGAGACCACATCTGACCACCACCTCCCGCAATTGGCAACCACCTTTCCTTGCCAGAAACCACCTCCTTGTCAGTGGAAACCACCTACGGCCACAAATAACCATTTTTGACCACCACCTCCCACGGAAACCACCCACCTTCAGTCACCACCTTCTAGTGGAAATCCATTTTTGGCCATCGCCTCACTCCAGAAAAACAGCTGCAGAGGACAGTAACCATCTCTTGCTGTCAGTAACCACCTTTGGCTACCACCTCCCGCCCACCACTCCCTCTCACTTATTTTCAAAACCATGTTTTCAAAAACGTGTGCATACCAACATGTTTTTTTGTTTAAGCCATATATCTGTTTTGGACATGCAGGGTTTTGTCAAAATCATCATACCATCTGAAGGATGATGAGGATTTCCCGCCTTTGTCTAACTGATTGTGGTGGGAAGGGATGCTGTATTTATATCGGCTCAGAATAGAATAGAATATGCTAACAAACCCGCATATGCTAGAACTTTCTGCGTTTGTCACTCATTTCTAGATTGCGTGTGATTTTAGAAAAAGGAACCTTTTTCTCCCCAGTGTAAGCATAAAGGCCTTTTGTACATTCTCCTAATTACTTTGCCCATCTAAAAGCTCTACATCTTTGCATTACATTGAATTGTTGTCTATATATAGGATTTTTAAACCTATGGTCTTTGAAACCGGTTTTGTTTTGACTGTTCCCCGCTGTAGTTTAGTTGTGAACACAGAAGCATTTGTTGCTGCATAGGTGAAATGTAACTTAAACTAGTATGTTCTTTTGTAACTGGAATGATAAATCTTTTCGTATCTGACCCCACTAGATTGGGACACAAGGCTTAGCTTTGTTTGATTTAATGATAAACTTTCTTCTCTCAGTTGCATTCATTATTCTCTGTATGTATGTCTGTTTATATCGCCTTTTAAGACAAAGTTGCATATGAGGGAGGGTGTTGGTGTTGGGGTTGGAGAGTTTGATAGACATTTTGGACCCTTTTCTTCTTAAGCTTTAGGGACGACCATTGGTGACATAACATGTTATCAGAACTCAAATTTGGAAGAGATTTTGAGTTTTAAGTCTCTCTTTACATTTGTTTTCTGTTTGCAGTCTGTTTCTCTATGTCTGTCTCTTTGCGTCGCCATATGCTAGATAGGATTGAATGTGGGGGGGGGGGGGGGTTTTGAAGAGGGAATGGTGAGAAGGATATTGGATAGTTTGATATTTATTGCTAGACACATCTTCTAACCGCTTAAGTTTTTGAGATGGTGATACTGTACACAGCTAGGATTTTCTTGGGGTTGGTAGGAGATGAGTAAGGAAAGAAAACGTTAGATTGGAACTTAGCAATCATATCTGGTAACAAATGCCTCATTTACTAGGCTAACCCTTGGTCTTTAAATTGCACTTATTTTCATAGTGGTGAGAATGTGTCTTCGACTAGAACTTAGGCATCGTGCCTGGTAACGAGCTCCTTTATTGGAGCATCAACTGAACAAGCTGACATGGTGTTTCTTGATCAATATGATCGGTGAAGTTGGCCGACTTATTTTGGTCGAATAGTAGATCAATGTGATTCCATCCATTGTCTTATGTACGGCCTCAGCCAACCCCTCGTGTATACCAATAATCTGAGACTCAAGAATCCCATCTAATCTTTTACTTATTGCTTAAAAAATGTTCAATTATTGAAAACTGATGAATTCATTGGTGACTTCATACCATAAATTAATATTCTCGACGGTTACAAGGAAAAAAAAGAGAAAAAAAAAAGAAAAAGCGATGCATTGTATGCAGAGGGGAGAATGAATTTTGGCCACATTGCTTGGTCTAAATTGTCATATTAAATGTCATGCAATATGATAAATAATTAGCTTTATTATGTTCAAAAAATGGGTGTGTTTCACTGTCACAACTACCCTTAATTTTTATATTATTCATTTCAGCTAATTGTTTATTGAGCTATTCAAAGGACTTCACCAGTTACATATATTCTGAATTATTATTGTATTTATTATTTTATTTTTTGATGCCTGTATATTTCAATATATTGTCCATCAGAACTGTCATGAATCAGGCATGGTCTTCCACATATTTCTCCTACCTAATGGCTAAAGAGACAAAAAGAAAAAAAATGGATCTTGTTATCCAAATGGAGATAAAAATGGATCTATTTGAATTATCATTTTATAAAATTTCTTAAATATTTCTTCATTTTATTAATCACTTCACAATATTACTATGGACAAAGGACACTTTATTATTTGAATTGTCATTTTATATCACTGTTCTGTCTCAATAAAAAAAATAAAATAAAATTACATTTTGTCATCTAAAGTATCAATTTATATCAATATAAACATTCCATTCAGAAACGGATCTTCGAAGTTCAAAGGGGTAAAATATAATTTACCCTATATTACTATAGGGACAAAATTAGAGTACAAAATTTTGAATATTACCTGATGGGTTATCAAAGCATTAATACATTAATATACAACTTGAAACAAAAAGTTAATAGTATTTAAAAGTTGATACTCAAATTTAGTCACTAATTTATATAGTCACTACATAATAGTTAATAATTTTATATTTTAATTTTTAAATAATTTGATGATTGAAAAAATTAAACAATTTTGACCGGTTTGATATAGGAAACAAAATTATTCTGAAGTTACTAAGTGGATGGATAGAAAGGACATTCATGAAAAAGTAAAAAGCTTGAATTGTATACACTTATGTCCGGACTGTCTCCTGTCCAGATCTGGATAATTCGGTCTAGTTCAGCCTATTGGGCTCACTTTTAAGTTTCTTTTCAATAATCATAACTGTTTATATTTTAGAATTTGTTGAGTACATTATTCCTATAAAACATCATGTCGATCGGATAACGGATATTATGTATTCGGATCACTTTTATTTTGAAAAAAATGGACGGTTAGAAAATTAACGATTCATAAAAAAAGTGGTCCGAATACGTAGTATCCGTTATCCGATCGACGTAATTTTTTACAGGAATAAGGCACTCAACAAACTCTAACGATTCGGATTATCGAAAAGAGACTCAAAAGTGAGCCCAATGGCCGGACTAGATCCTCCAGTCCAGATGGTGAACTGAAGGCAAATCCCAGTCTACACTTTTATAGAAATTTGTTTAAAATATAGATTGTCTTTGTCATTTGAAAAATTAAAAATACTCTATTTTTAGAATTTTTTATTTAACAAAATTAACAAAAAAATAAAATTTTTGACATCATTAAAAATTATTAATTGACTTAATAATTTATTAATAAAAGAGATCATTTGTTATGAAATTAAAAACTTCAAGGGACAAGATGTAATTTTTAAAACTATATTTCATTCACATTGAACATTTTTTTTTTTTTTAAATTCTTATATTCAAATCCACCAACCAAACATAACCTTAATGTTTAAATTGTACCAATTTAATCACAATATAAAAAATATATTTCTAACTCCAACGAAAACTCACTTAAAACATTACTTTTTTAACTCCAAAAATATGTGAGAGCACTACAAAAAATTAGGTAGCGTTCGGTACCGTTTTAGAATTATAATTTGAAAATAGAGCTGTATTTTGAGTTTGTGAGTTTTGAAATTATGATTTGAGTGTAGAAAATTTGTTTGATTATAAATTTTGAAAAGAGTTTTGAATTGAGTTTGAAATTTTTATGTGACATATGATATTTGATTAAAAAACTTACAACTCATAATTCAAAATTCTATTCAAACCTCATAATTTTTTTTTAAAAAAAAATTCCGAAAATATTTTTTTTATTTACAATATAAAAAAATAACGGGTGCCAATTGCCAAAAAAAAAAAAAACATTATTCTGGTCAACCGGCCGGACGTCCGAGAGACATCCAGGAGGATGAACGGGTACATGTGTTTTCAAAAGTGGGTGTAGAATTATGTTTCTAGAACTCAAACCAAACACAACGTTCAAACCAAGGACTGGAATCACATTTCTAGAGCTCCACCAAACACAGCCAAATTTTAAAGACTAAATTTTAGGGACAAAATTATTTTTTAACGACCAAATATTTTTTTTGCGAAAAGTATGGTCATTATATTTTTAGCAATGAGAATTGGACATTATTGATAAATTATTATCCTTTTATAATCAAATTTTTTGTTTAAAAAATAAATCATTATAAGACGAAATTATTTTGTTCCTAAATGTCTATTTATTAGTAATATTTTAAAAATTTTGTCGTTAAAAGTCTTGTTTTTGACTTTTCATGACGATCTTTTAACAACTATCTTCACGATGATAGAAATTGATCCTTAAATATTTTTTATAACAAAATTTTCACCTTTAGAGATTAAAATTTAAAACTCTCATATATTGTAGTACATATGTCATTTAAATAGAAATTCATTTAAAAAAATTAAACTATAAGTATCCAAACTATATGATCTGTGCCATTTTGATATTCAAAATCATCATCAGCTTAACTTTAACTACATCATATCAAAACATATTTTATATATTTAAAATTAAATTGACACAATTTAAATATTAAGAACTAAATTAAAACACTTTAAACATTGTAGACTAATTGATGCAACAAAAAAAATAAATAAAAGCCCAAGTACTTGAGCTGAAAGGGTGGGTATCATTAATTAGTTGTGTGGAGACAGCAACCATGTCTGTAATCCAATGAGAAAGTAACACAAGCCATGTCTGTAAAAAAATTTAATGTGATGTACTTTTGGCTTGTCCAGAAGGATCTTAAAAATAATAAAAAAAAATTAAAAATCATATTTACTATTTTAATTTGTCTTCGACATGAATGTTCCGTTTTGAGTAAGTCTAAGTATAACCAATTAAATTAAAAACAAAAAAAATAAAAAAATGTGTTCAAATAATGGGACCCAATAGAGGTAATTTTTTTTTAAAATTTTATTTATTTATTTTTAAAAAAAGATACACCTACTGAAAAATTCAATCACCAAAATTTTTTACCCTTCAGAAATATGTTTGCATCTATGATTCTAAGTATTTATAAAAGATCAGTAATTTCAGTGATCAAATATTTTGACAATTATAACAATACTGTTATTTTCAGTTAAAATGAATTTTATTGAGTTCACATACATTCTTAATATATTTTTATAATTTAATTTTAATTATGCATAACTGCTCATCCTTTCCTACGACTTTAGCCGGCCATGGCAACTTTTAGCAAATTTTTTTATTTTTATTTTTCATTGATTGCCCTCTCAGCCATTCGAAGTGGAATACTTTCCCAAGGATCACTTCAATAGTGTCAACACAAAGATTTACTTCGTCTAATAGTATCCACTGGTTCAAACAACCATTCATGTTCAATTTTGAAGTAAATATTGCATGGATTTTATTAACCTGTTAATAAATTTAAAAACTTTATACATTTTGTATGAAATTGTGTGTAAAAAGCATGTACAATTTTTCTAAAATAAACTATACCTTTAATCTTTGTAATTTGACTTAAATTTTACTTTGATCCTTATTGTTTCATTTTGAGCAATTAAGTCCCATACTTTAAGTTCAATTTCAATTTGGTGTTTTTGTTCAAATTTCTATTAATTTTTGCTATCTGTACACCGTTGGAGATTATCAATTGTTCCAAAATCGTTGACTTTAACTTTTAACCAAATGAAATAATAAAATTAAAATTGAACTAAAAATGTAGACATCAAAATTTTTAATTGAAACAATAAGGACCAAAATCAAATTTGAGTCCATCTGCAAGGGTTAAAATGTAACTTATCCATCTTTTAACATTTTCTTAACATGTGCTACACATTAATAAAACTCATATTGCCGGTGATATTATTAGATGATATCATGAAGGAAGATGCTTCTCTCTAGTTTACACAGTGTATTTAAGCGTGCTATTGGCCCCGTGAGGCCCATCACGGGTCCCGTTTCAATGATCCAAACTGTTCAATGTGTATTGCTTGTCGAGTACTTCTTGCTTGCAAAAAATTACATTAATCGGATATCGGTAACTCTTTGATCGGAATACATTTTTATCAATAGTAAACATGATTTTAAAAACAAATAATTAACAAAAATGTGTTCAGATCAAGGGGCTACTGATATCCTATCAACGTGATTTTTTTAAGCATGTAGTATTCGATGAGTTCTACACATTAAACGATTCAGATTATTAAAACGAGACTTATGATGAACCTTACAAGCCCAACAGCACACTCTAATCCACTGGATAGACTGGAAAGAAGCCTTTTCCTATCATTAATTGATAAGAGATCTCACATCACAATAGTGGGTAAGAAGCAAGAAATATCATAAAGTGCATATCAAAAATGTTTGGTGACCTGAATTTGTGTGACTCGAATAGGTTAAAATGACGTCGTTTTACACCCAAAACGATGTCATTTTACATCCAAAACGATATTGTTTAAAGACATTCGAACCATGAAAATTTGGGCCACCTAGCACTATTTTTTTTTTAATATTTAATAGCACTATAAAGCTAAAAAGCCAACACACTTTCCAAACGGAGGCTATGTAAAATGATATCAACCTTACACTTAATATTTATTCTTAATTTTCAATTTAAAATCACCATGTAATGTTTACAAGAAGCTCAACCATTTCCACTATAGTAAAGGGTTGTTTGGGATGATCTAAATAAGTGCACTTTTTATCTTTTTACGAAAAAATGTGCAGAAAAATAGAGAGGTGATGTGATGGAAAAAAGATAAAAAGATAAAAAGAAGAATTATTTAGGGGATGCCAAACCAGCCCTAAATCTACCTATCTAGGCTTAGATTTGTGTTATGAATGAAAATGTTTAGTAGAGATTAAATTTATGTATTATAAAATTTATTTATAAAATAAATCTATATTATATATTAATATTTTAAAATAATATTTAAATAAAAATTTTAAATTTATAACATTACCATTTCCCGCTAAATCTCTGTGATCAATAACGGCGGCAATTCATGAGTCATCACTTTCCTACTAACATACCCGTTTGTGTGCATTATTAATACAACTATTTTTAAAATCAGAAAAAGGGCACCTGTCCAGTTAGAATCCGTGGAGTTGAGTTGGGTTGAACTTTTTTTTTCGGTTGAAAATTATCATTATTATTGCATTACATAAGCAATAGTCTATAGCTAGATTGAGATATTGTAACAAAACAATGCTGATTAGTTGTGTAAGTTGACTCGCTCATTGTGTATACAATCTATATATATATATATATATGATTTCCTTATTTATATGTCATAACAAATATAGTTAATTATTAATTAAGATAATAAAGTAAACCCCATCTGGATGCATCGTTTTAGGCCCACTCAAAATGAATTTAGGTCACTCATATCATTATTTTCTGTTAAGGAATTCTGATTTTAAATATTAGTTTGAAAAATTATTACACAGTCTTACCGTATCATGTGTCTTTACTTATATGGTGTTTATTTATTTATTTTTTATTCAATGAGAGAGTGCAACATTCACCACTAAATGAGTCATTTACACCAAATGATATTTAAGGACTACCTAATAATTACTCTATTGATTGATACGTATAGTTACTCTATTGGTTGATACGTATAGTAAGTATTGAGTTTTTATTTTAATGACACAAATACACTCCCATATACTCACTGAAATAAAACTTACATGTACATTGGTCAATTCTCAATACATGATTTGATTGACCATTGATACGATCAATTTACATTTGATACGATCAATTTGATTGTTATAAGTTTGTTTATTTTGCTATTGATGATTTAAAACAAAAAATCATAAACATGACAAACGATACAAAATGTTTAACATTCTCAATAAGAAAAGACTGTATATCAATGCACTTTATAATTATAGAAGAAAATGACATAATTTCATATTTTCTGAGTTATAACTAAAAAAAAAAATCATAACCAAACACAAATAAAACATAACCAAAGATCTCAAAATAATGTTAGAACTAAAGAAAAAAATTGATCATAATTAAAGAAAAAATAATATAACTAAGAATACATATTGTAAGATATGTATATAATAGAATACTCATTCTCAAAATTATTATGTCAGAACTGATATTGATACATTTCTTGATATCCATATTTAAATCATATCTCGTTCAAAGAAAAAAAAATTTAAAATCATATAATATTTTTGTTATATACTACTTCCCACCACCACCTCCTCTTCATACCAATTTAGTTTTGCACTGATTAACCCCTCTTCCCAAATCTCCCTACCCATCTCAATCTCTCTCCAAAATCATCCCACCATCAACTTTTCCCCTCTTAGATTCTCTCTCTTTCTCTCATAACCACAAATGGTGCTACCAAAGCGTGGCCACAGGTTTTTCAAATTCAGGAGCTCAGCCTCTTGCCAAAGCCCCACTCATGATCATGTCAACTTCTAAACTTTTGTAAAACAAACCACCTCCACACAAAGGCAATTCTTCTAAGTATACTCCAAAATATCTCTCAAAACACCAAAAAATATGACCAAAAAAAATTCTTATTTGTTCATTGGCTGACAGAATATTCCACTCTCTATCCATTCCCACCTCTCACAGAGTGTCTCAATCTTATCTGTTAAAAAAAATCTCTAAGACACACCTTTTTTTTGGTCTACTAATCTTTCAATTTGAGCCAAATGAGTCCTCAGGCATACGAGTTGTCGCGGGAGGTTGTGGACATGGCTTGGATTATGCTGAGGATCGATTACTCAAGGCTCTTCTGGCTCTTGTTCGGTGTTTTCTCATACGAAAACCGCGAAGGAAAGCCTCGGATTTTCTAGCACCCGGTCTCTCACCTTCAAGAAAAACTCAGTTATATAGCAATAGATTAATAAAGACAATATTTAGCAAATTTTATAAATAACAAGCTTGGAAGGTCGTTGTTGTCTGCGGATAGGGTTGGTTGTTGTTGCTCAATCATGTATAAGGCGTGGTTAGGGGAACCGATTGATGGATCAAAGTTGCAGTTGGGATACATTGAAATGGATCCATCAGGAAGATATGGACGAGTAAGTTTTTAATTTTGAATTTACTATATTTATGTCAAAATTTTTATTTTTATTTTTATTTTATTTTTTGTCTAATGATGATATGGTTGTTTTGATCATATAAGTTGAACGTGGAAGGTACTAGGTTGTCCAAGGAATATTTTCAACAACAACAACAACAACAACAACAACAACAAAAAAAGAGCATTGAAAGAGAAACCTTAGAATTTCACATGTAGAACGGATTAAACACAAATCATTGAAAAAAAATGAAAGATCAATCACAAAAATGTCAACACAATCTAACATTTGAGATTATTATGTTATTCTTCATCCTTCTCTATGACTATGTCTTATGTTAGTTATTTTGTTTTAGAGTATGAAACTTGAAACCGAGTTATTAAAGTTGATTGTGTAGTATTTACCATATTATTTTGAAATAACAGTTAAAATAATTTTATTCTTGTACTCTGGTTTTACATCAGTATATCATTTTCTTTTTCCTGATAAAAAAAATTGAAATGGGAGAATAGGAGGGAAATTTTTGTTGTGCCAAAAAAATAATAAAACTACCATCGGAGTAACGTTGCTACAATATATTATTTTGTTAATATTTATTAAAATATATCAATATAACTAACTATTTAACTATTAACACTATAAAAAATTAAGGTTTTAGAAACTAAAATTTAGGGACAAAATTATTTTCTAGGGACCAAATATTTTTGTTGCGAAAAGTGTAGTTATTATATTTTTAGTAACGAAAATTGAACATTAATAATGAATTATTATTCTTTTGGGACCAAATTTTTTGTCTAAAAAAATAAACTATTTTAAGACCAAGTTATTTTGTCCCTAAAAGTCTATTTATTAGTGACATTTTCAAAATTTTGTCCCTAAAAGCCTTGTTTTTGACTTTTCGAAACGACTTTTTAGCGACTATTCTCACGACGATGGAAATTGGTCCCAAATATCTTTTGCAACAAAATTTTCGCTTTTAAAGACTAAAAAATTTAGTCTCTAAAATTCTTACATGTGATAGTGTAAATCATTAGAAATGCTCCTACTATTTCATGAAATATGAGGCAGTTCTATCTAAAGAACATTATAAATTGAATACCTAAATTTACCCACCATGATATAGCAAGAGAAATAGGCCTCCACAATTAAATATGTGACAAATCAAAAATTGACATGTATTATGCCACTTCATTATGGATCAAATTGTGAAAGATTTTTTTGTGAGCCTTTAATATTTTCTTATTTGATTTAGTAAGTGAAAAGTGCAAAAGAAAGCATACAAAATTAAAAACTCAATATTGCCATAATTGAGATCAATGTTGTTTTGGATCATGACTTTGAATACAGATTTAAAAATGAAAAAAAGAAATAGAGAAAATTTTTAATTTATATTTAATTCACATATCTCTCACCAATTTTTTTTTTTTTAAACTTTTACCTAAATTCATAATTCAAACAAAGCCTAAGTGCTCCTTTATCGGGTAGGATACTTGGATTTGGAGTCTAACCACTTCATGATGCAACTTTCCACCACCTATTCCTCACCTACCGATTGTTTTTAAAAAAAGAAAAAAAAAAGAAAAGAGAGACAAGCTAGAGGTTGCTTATATAGATGTCATTTTAAAAAAAAAAACTAGGTGCAACACATACCTGGTGTGAGTTTGTAGTTGCAGAGTTGACTTCAAAATTTGAATGAAACTCAATTGGAATAATAGCAATAGTAAAATGTTTTGTGCAGATAGTTTTCTTTTTTTAATCTAGCCTAGAGAATATAGATTAAAGAGCAGTATTTTGCATGATTGTTTTGTTCTTAAAAGTGCATTTATTAGTGATATTTTTAAAATTTTGTTACTAATATATATATATATATATATATATTTTATTACACTTTTTGAGACCACTTTTCAGCGAAGATAAGAAATGGTCTTCAAATATTTTTTGAAACAAAATTATCACTCAAAATTAAAAAAAAAAAAATTAGCTTCTAAAACCGTTATGTTGCAGTGTATGCAAGGAAGGACTACATAAACTTAAAAACACATGATCAATGCTTTAATTGAACCATGAAATGGTGAATACACTCATTCATCTACTGATTATTATTATGGTAATGGCAGTTTAAAGATTTACTGGGGAAAGGAGCAACGAAGACAGTGTACAAGGCATTTGATGAGGTGCTTGGGATGGAGGTTGCTTGGAACCAGGTCAAACTCAACCATGTTTTTCATTCACCGGAGGAGTTGCAGAGGCTTTACTCCGAGGTCCACCTCCTTAAGAACCTCGATCACAGTTCCATTATCCGATTCTATGCTTCTTGGATCGACGTTGATCGCAGAACTTTCAATTTCATCACTGAAATGTTCACTTCTGGCACTCTCAGAGAGTAAATTTTCGAAACCTCCTCTTATATATCACCCCCCCAACCATAATGAAATTTCTTGGTTTTATTTATTTATTTTTGTTTGTTTGTTTAATATTTATAATTTAACTATCTATCTTCACCTAATCAAGCAGTGAATAGATACAAAGTAGAGCTGAAATGAACAAACAAACCAAAAAAAAAGAAAAAAAAAAAAAAGACTAACTTGGACCAGCCAACTTGCCTAAAGCAGATATAATAATTAACCATTTGGCAATTCAACAATTTAGGAATAGAATTAACCAGAGAACCAATCATGTAAAGTACCTACCAGCCTTCACCGAATCAAACAGTGAATAGATGAGCTTATTTATAGATTAGACTTGCATGTGGCTAAAAAGTCAAAAAATTATTCAAAAAGTTAAAAAATTATCATTAATTCATCAAAAGTCAAAAATTACAGCTACATAACTCTCAATCCTAATTTTTCCCTACAAACCCTACACACTAATTTATACAATTTTTTAATACACATTTTTTCATAAAAAGTCAAAAATTAACACAAACATTTTTTTCTTCAACTTTTTAGTCGAAAAAATTAAAAAATACATTTATTTAGGACATTCCAAATAACCATGATGACATGATCAACTCAAAACCAATTTAGCGATTCAGCTATCTATGGCCTTGTCTTATAGTGGTACAAGTTCCTTTGCCCTTAAATCTAAGTTAGAAATTTTTTTAATGAATGACAATAAAAAATAAAAAAAATAATTATTGGGCTGGAGATGTACTATTAGAGTTTAGTGGGCCTACTCTTTATGTCCATTTTAGTGATTCACATTATTTGTTTTATTAAAACTCGTCAAACGAATTATTCATGTACGAAAAATAAATAAATAAATAAATAAATAAAATAAATAAAAATTTAAACATTCATAATTACATGATCGAATGACAATTGTCTTGCAAAATTCAACTAGTATGATTTTCAAAATGGGAATAACTTCTCTTTTAATTGGTGATTCGATTAGAGAGCTGATACGTTAGTGGGTTTATATCAAACCTAATTCAAGTCTAAATCATTTATCGTATAAGACTTGTTGAACATATCATTAATAATTAGGGGTACTTGCCAATCAGTTCCATAAACTTTGACTTATTTATTTATAAGTCCTGATTGATAAATTTATTATTGTAAATTTATTTATAAAATAAAAGAGATTGATAAATTTATCAATAAAATTTAATAGATAATAAATTTAAAAAATAAGACCTATTGATAATTTACCTTAGTAATTAATCTTGTTTATAAAAAAGGTGAAAACAAACAAATAAACAAAGGTTAACATGGTGTGTGTGGTGGGAAATGGATGGATATATATACAGGTATAGACAGAGATACAAGAGAGTAGAAATTAGAGCAGTGAAGAACTGGGCTAGACAAATCCTAAGAGGACTGTCATACCTGCACAGTCATGATCCACCAGTGATACATAGAGACCTCAAGTGCGATAACATCTTCGTCAATGGGCATCTTGGTCAAGTCAAGATCGGTGATCTAGGGCTAGCCGCCATTCTCCGTGGCTCTCAACATGCCCACAGCGTCATAGGCAATCCTCTCTCTCCTTTTTGTGTGCTGTTTGCCTACATCATTTTTCGTATTTTTTTTTTAAACAATATTTTTGGGATATATTATAAATATATTTTTTGAGATTTGTTTAAAATACAGATTACGATATGTGATTATGAAAATTACATCATGCCCATTTAAGTTATCAATCGCATAACAAATGGCTTATTTTATTAATAAATTATTAACACTGTGTTTGGTTCATGGATTTAAGTACATATTTAGAAAAGAAAAATGGAAAACATAAGTAAAATGTGAATAAAATATAATTATATTTCACACACATTTTTCATTTCTCTTTTCAAATCTCTTTTACAATTCATGAACTAAATACAACCTAAGCCAATTAATAATTTTTAATGATATAGAAAATATATTTTAATTAATAATTCAAAAAATTTTATTATAAAATATAATTATATTTCACACACATTTTTCATTTCTCTTTTCAAATCTCTTTTAGAATTCATGAACTAAATACAACCTAAGCCAATTAATAATTTTTAATGATATCGAAAATATATTTTAATTAATAATTCAAAAAAGTTTATTATTGTATAAAAGAGTAATAATGAATTTTTTTTTATTAATTATGTTAAACATAAAATTTTGATAAGAAATATTTGTAATTTCTAGAATCACAAAAATTAATTCGTATGTTATATAAACTTTAGGAGTATAATTCATCTTGTTTTACTCTATGTTTTTGGTGTTTTATTGGAAAATTACAAAAAAAAAAAAAAAATTAATAAAAAATATTTAAAAAGTTCATTATACATAAAAACTTAACTAGTATTTTTTTTTTTTTGCCGAATTTTGATTGTGATCTCGTTTGTATGCTTTGTCGGCCATACATCATTTTTTGTTTGCATCCGTCAATCCAAGATAGAATCAAATATCCGGTGGCTGGAAGTCACTTCACTAATTATTTAGATGATCTGCACTTCAAATTTTAAAAAAGAATGAAAAAATGACTTGGTAAATTTTTTAACCCTTTTTATATATATATAAAGTATAAGAATTTTTTTTAATGAGTCATGTACCAAAATTAATTTAAGTTTTTTTAATGCACACACCTTGATTTTTTTAGACAAAATCTCAATACAAATGGACCAATATGTTTTAAAAGATTGTTCATTAATTGCTATTCATATGGAAAATCAGGTACTCCTGAATTCATGGCACCAGAACTATACGAAGAGGATTACGATGAGCTAGTAGACGTTTACTCCTTTGGTATGTGTGTTTTAGAAATGCTTACTTCTGAGTATCCGTACAGTGAGTGCTCCAATCCTGCTCAAATCTACAAGAAAGTTACCTCGGTATGTGTTTTAGTACCGATAATATTATCATATTTCTGGACTAAAATCAAATAATATTATCACAGTTCATATATTAGTAAATGAAAAATATTTGGGAGCTCTAAATTGGGAGGACTAAAGGAGCTCTAGAGAGTGGATCGCACTGATTGATGTGATGTTTTGACTTTAAATTTTTTTTTTCTTTTTTTTTTTGAATTTTCACCTCATTAATAGTCTATTAGTGCTCCCAAATTAGTGGGATGTATCATTGTTGATTAGTAAATATTAATATTATGTTGGTTGATAAGTCCTTTTTATTGATATATTATAGTTGGAAATATCAATAAAAATTAGAGGCTGGTCAACAGTTGTTTGGGAATAAGACCTTTTTTAAAAAAAAAAAATATTTTTATGTAAATATTTATCATATTTATATCTATTGACCCAAAACAAAAACAATTGATATTATTGTTAATCCATTTTATCTTTTTAGTCCATCTTACATAAATTTTATGAATTTTAATTAATTATTTTAATTTTTTTTTTTATTTATTTGACTGTTATATTGTCAATCTAAACAATGCATAGCATTACTCGTGTTGGATATATTTCTATTTTATAATTGTTGGTATCCTAACATTTTTCCGACCAACAGGACAATTGTCTAGTAAATTTAAGCATAGTAGAGCATCTTCATTCAAACTTTCGTGTCAATTTTTTTTGAAGACTTAGCTAAAAATTGATATATGTCAATTTAATATAAAAACTCTTCACCCGATATATTAAATTTATTATTTTATTATGTTTAAAAAATAAAATTATATTATTGGGTCTCAACATTTGACATCAAATGGAGTATATTAAATTTAATATGTTAAGTTCATACTAAATGTTAACTCAGCATTTAGTATATCAAGTGGAGTTAATACTCGATACTAAAATATGACTATTAAAATGTCACATCAAATTTAAAATATTCGATGACATTGCTCTTAAGCCTATTTTGTCAATTAGATTAAAAGCTACTACTGATTAACAACGTCGCGATTGAAGCCTTGTTTTTTTGAAATTACAACTACCACAAAGCAGCACCTAGTAAAGAAAAACTAGCTAACAACTTGAATTTGAATTATTTTTCAACAATTACAGCTGTAATCTGATCTGACCCATATTCTGACCCACCAGGGGAAGCTGCCGGAGGCATTCTACCGGATTCAAGACATCGAAGCTCAGCGCTTTGTGGCGAAATGCTTAGGCACTGCTTCGAAGAGGCCATCGGCCTGTGAGCTCCTGGAAGATCCATTTCTTGCTTGTGAGAAAGAGGAGGTGTCCATTGCCACCAGCAAAAGGACTCAAACCCCAAGAGATCATCAAAACTCAACTCCTAATGGAACAGTGGTTGATATGCCGGTTTTGCTGCCCGATTCAACCAGGAGGAGTACGGACATGACTATCACCGGGACCATGAATCCGGCTGATGATACCATTTTTCTCAAAGTCAAGATCACGGATAAGGATGGTAACATTCAAAACTTCTTCTATTTACCCACCCTACATTTTTATTTGGGGCAAATTACATATACACCCCTCGAGGTTTGGCTAAATTACAGATACCCTGAGGTTTGAGAAATTACGAATTCCCCCCTGAATGCTATATTTGCATAAAAAATTAGGGGGTAATTTGTTATGAAATATAAACCTCAGGGGGTAAATTGTTATGAAAATACAAACCTCAGGGGGCGGGATGTAATTTCCGAAACCTCAGGGGTATCTGTAATTTAACCAAACCTCGAGGGGTGTATATGTAATTTGCCCTTTTATTTGTGTTGTGAGTTAAAAATCAATAATTCACGTGGTATCTTGTGACAGTTGGATTTCGGTTTATTTGGTTTTTATTTTAAAGCGTGTCGTATATTTTTACTTTTTGAATAAATTAATGACCGTTAGGAACGATTATTTAGTAGTTTGAGAGTACGGTGATGTGATATTTTATGGTAGTATAATTAATGAAGAAAGTAAAATATTAATTATTTATGTTGAGTGATCGAGGAACATGTAGTATAATGAATGGTGATGGGTGAGAGAATATGATCAAGTGGTACTCAGAACTATTGTATAAATTTTCAAAAGTTAAAATAATAAAAAAATTATGAAAAAGAATTATTTAAAAAAAAAAAAAAAAAAAAAAAAAAAAAAATTAAAATGTTAGTTACTTCTAATTTTAATTTGTAATAAAGATCACAATCTTATTGAATTAGTGGAGACAAAAGTTCTCCCTTAATGTATTTTCCACTTTTTATTGACCAATGACACAGATAGGATATAACTTGGAAGATCAAATTATATGTTTTATGGACGGGTGATGTTACATACAACAATTAGTATATTAATTAATGTATCAACACTAATTATAATATTATTATTGACTCCACTCATTATACCAACTATAAATATAAAAAATTTCTAAAATTATGATACATCATCAATTAGTATAATAACTATTACACTAATTAATACACGTAACATTATTTTTTGTCGAACGAAAAACAATTTGGTTTTGTTACTTCCATTAATTACTCATGGCGTGTTTTTGTTTGACTCCAAAACCAATTACTGCCATTAATGCAGGGGAAGCAAGAAACGTGTACTTCCCATTCGATATCGTGAGCGACACAGCCATTGATGTAGCAATGGAGATGGTGAAGGAATTGGAGATCACTGATTGGGATCCATCGGAGATCGCCCAGATGATTGATGATGAGATTTCTGGTCTTGTTCCAACTTGGAAGGAGTCGCCTCGACACCATAATCAGCACAGCTTCGCCTACGACGAAGATGACGATGACAGTAGTAGTATCCACCACCCTTTCTACTTGCTCTCCTCTCATTCTTCGTCCCATGGTTCTCTTCCCGGTCTCTACACTTCACCCAAGGGGTCTCAGTTTCATGGCACCAACGATTCGACCAATTTTGGCTGTTACTGGAATCAAGGTACGTCACAACATTCTTTGTTCTCCAAATTTTTATATACATATAGATTATTCTTTGTTCTCAAACAATCAATCACACGATCACGTGAAATCTGGCTGTGTCCACCCAATTGCCGGCAACGTTTAATTATTTTGAATTTTTTAAAGATTCTTTTAAAATATTATATAATATTATTTACGTAATCTTATCTTTTTATCTTTTAATTATCACGTAAATAATGTCACATTGTACTACTATGAGACAACTAAATAATTTCATATTCTTTGGTCTCTCTAATATGACTTTCCTATTATTTTAGTTCTGAATATTTGAATTCTAAATTTAACTGCATCAATTTGTAAAAAAAAAAATCCTAAGTTTAATTTATATGAAAAAAAAATAAAAAAATCAGTCCCTAAGTTTAATTGAGTTATGTTATTATTGATGATGCAGAAGATTTTCTTATCAATGATGATGCAAGTTCTCAAAACTCACAAAACTCCTTCAACTACTCTAACTTAAACTATTCCTCAGCCAATGAAAATGACTTTGATTTGAGTCCCAAACATGCCAACTTCAATGCCAATAAGGGACACAATTGCACTAGATTCTGCCCTGAAGAAAGCAAGAGCAGTAAAAATGGTTACAACCAAAGCAATGCATTAATGCTTGACACTCACAGAACTTATGCAAGTTCTTCAAATCATCATCATCATCAACAACAACAACAAAGCAAGATCACTCGTGTCAAATCACTAGTCGACATTCGTAGCCAACTGTTGCATCGGTCCTTGGTGGAGATGATAAACAAGCGGCGGCTGTTTAAGACTGTCGGAGCTGTTGAGAACATTGGGTACAAGGACCCCGGTGAGTTTTCCGGGAAGATGTCCATGTTTGGTGAGTTTTCCGGGAAAGTTTCTGGGAATTGTGAAGGGTAAGGATTTGAATGGTAAAAAATTGGCATTCTGGTGATTTGGGAAAAACAAGACGTAAGCAGTTTATCTATAATTATAGAGAGACTATTACTGTGACTCGAATATGGGATGGTAAGGGTAAGGATTTGAATGGTGAGGTACTTTTAATATTTGTAGTGTGAATCTTGAAGTTTCTTGATGATGTTTGTATATATGATTTTGTGGTGTGTTATTTTATGAATATTGAACCCAAGATGGTTTTTTGATTTTGAGTGCTATGGCGTGGACATGCATCGAACTACATACTTTTGGTGCGTTGATTATTGTTATAATTAGTTTACATATATATATTACTTGTAATCGTTGCTATAAAAGAAAATTATTAAGTAATTTCGAAACATATAATATATGTGGTGTTCTCTTGAAAATAGAATATTTTTTTTAGAGAGATTATAGAGATTTTTTTGTATGATTCAGATTTATTTTAAAAAAAAAAAAGTATCAATACTCTTGTATCCTTAACTTGGTACTATTATACTCTCAATTTTTGTAAAATTAAATGTCAATCATAAAAAAAAATACTAAGATCATTTTAGAAAAAATTATTCTAAAAAATCTGAATTTATTGATTAAGAGTATTACATAAACAATTTTACATGATATAACCTTATGAGAATACTTCTTGTCAGTGTTAGTTCAAAGAATGACTTCTATCGAGTTGGTGATTTTACTCCAGAGATATTATTGGGGTTTAGTGACATATTTAGTGATCTGATTCATTCGTATGATAAGGTTTATTAATTAGATAATTTATATAAAAAATTAAGTTGATTAAGGTCTTGTTGGGAATTGATTTTTTTAGAGGCTTTTAATTTTGACTTTTTTATGAGGCGAAAAAAAATTATATGTTTGAAAATGAATTATTTTATTTATATCAAAAACTGTGAATTACTAAGATGTATGATTTTTTTTAGTTATTTTGTTGAGTTTTTAAATATTTTAGTAACTTTTTTATTTTTTATTAACTTTTTGTCTATTTTAATTAAAAAGTCAAATTATGAAATGGGAATAGAAAATAAATATAATGTTAATTTGTAACTATTAGATGGGCTTTCGCCTTGATATTCTTAGACACGCTCTACAGTTGATTTTTTCGACCTTTGCTTTGTAGTACAAGCGCGAGCACTTGTAGTGTGTTTGAGATTATCATAGTTTTTATACCTGTTCCTTGTTTGATCTGATTTTCTTTGCTTGGTGTAAGCCTTTTGTTGGATGGATTCCTGTGTAAGTGCCGTTTGGCTTCACTAATGATATTTCTTTCTGATAAAAAAAAAAAAAAGAAGCTAAAAGCCCCGTTGTTATGTCCAATTTCTCAATATGCTCAATTTTTTAATACACACTATTAAATTATTTAAGATTATAATTTATTCTCAATACACCCTATATTTTTTCTTAAATTACCTTTCAAAATATAGCCAAATAATAAACATATCAAAATCCCTAAATTCCCATGGCAATTTCATAGCTGCTAGAACTGTGCATTTGTGAAGGAATTTTGATCATCTCACCATTGAAGTTTTGGTTGCACGGGAGAGCTTACATTTTGCACTGGAGGTACAGCTGTGGAATATTGTCCCATAGTAGGTCATTTGTATGATATCGAAGGAGACAATGGTGGCTGCAAATGAGGAAAGACTCATTAATGATGTTAGATGCTTAATGAATAATTCCAGGTGCTGTGAGTTGAGATTTGTACGAAGGTGGACTCATGGTGTAGCACATTGTTTGGCAAGACGTGGGGTGAGTTTATCTGGTACTTTTACATGGGAATTCAGGCCTTTTTGGAGAAAGATATTTGCTGTTCTTCATGGTTTTTCCATCTTTTATCAATAACATTTATTCTATAATTTTGACCAAAAAAAGAAAAAGAAAAAAACCCTTTCAAAAGTTTTTGAATACACTTCTCATTAGAGCTATTTCTTTTGTTCATATACAGGAAGGTTTGTGGGTAGTGAGTTTTGGTAGGATGGATTCAATTTTTTGAGTGAGCAAGAAGATGGAAAAAAAAAAACTTGGTGAAGAAGATGAAGAGGTTTTTTTTTTTTTTAATTATTTTTTTTAAGGAAGATGAAGAGAGTTGAATATAAAGAATATGTATAAGTGGTTGGACATAAACTAAGAGACTCGCTCACTATAAACCAACCAACGACCATGGAGCTACTAATGCAATGAGCACATTCGAGTAGAGGATGATACTGCTACGGCCACCGCGAAGACGAATTTGGTGACAGCGGAAAAACGAGTGGCTGGAAAGGTTCACGCGGTCGGACAAGAGCCAAACCGTCCGAGTAACCGTGAAAAAGAGTCAGACTGCGGTGCAGATCGCAACAACCGGGGTAAAGGTCATTGCAACGACCAAGCTAATCACCCTCGTGACGCCACGGAAGATGCGAAGAGAAAGTTGAACACTCGAATAGGCATCTCCACGGCTTTCAAAATCCCAATCTACCGCATCCTTAGCGAAATCCACGACGAACTATATATCCGGTTTCTAGCTAAGTTGTGCGATGCACAAAGGGGCTTCAATCTGCGGTATCGCTGCACCTTTCATGGCGAGTGAGGGCACCGTACTGAGGACTGTTTGCCTCTGAAGCAACATTTAGAGGAGTTGGTGGCCGCTGGCCACTTGGACCATTATATTGACGGAGGCGTCAAGGCCACGCCCCACGCTCCAGTTGTGCCAAATGGTTTGGTTGCCCTAGAAGCACCCCCCAAAGGCATGATCAATGTGATCCATGGTATCATCGAGCCAGCACGGGTATGCGAGCTCCGAGGGATGATCAAAAAAGCAGAGCATATGAGGGAAGTCCTGTCAGTCTAGCCTGCGGTCAAAAAGAGAAAAATCGAGGTAAAAAATGTGCTCAGCTTTTCAAGCTGAGATCTTAAACAAATTCAAACGCCGTACAATGACGCTCTGGTGGTCACCTTTTGCGTCAGGGACTTTGACGTTAGGCACATTCTGATCGATCAGGGCAGCTCAGTTGAAATAATGTATTACGACGCCTTCAAACAACTCAAGCTAAGTGATAAAGACTTGGCCTCAGCGACCTCGCCATTGGTTGGTTTCAACTCATAACCGGAGTGGTCCATGGAAAGATCATCTTACCAGTCAAAGCCGGGTCCGTGGTCAAGCAAGTAGAGTTTTGGGTGTTGAAGGTGCACTCTACGTACAATCTGATCTTAGGTAAATGATGGCTTCACCCCATGCAAGCGGTGGTTTCGACTTACCACCAAGTCATGAGGTTCCCCTCTACTTCGGGGATGGTTGAGGAAATTTGGGGCGATCAAGTCATGGCCAAGCAGTGTTTCGTGGTCGTAAATGGGAGCCAAGCTGCCAAAGGCTTTGTGCAAATGATCAACGAACCAAAAGATCAAAGCGTCCTGGATGACGTAGGTTCCAGGGCCGAAGAGAAGTCTGTTGAAGACTTAGTGGAGGTACGGGTCAACGAGAGCGATCCGGAGAAGTTCGGTCTGTTGGGATCCAGCCTGACCGCCTAAGAACGATCGGAGATGGTTGAGTTCTTGGTGGCAAATATCAAAGTATTTGCATGGACGCCTTATGACATGCTTGGCATCAACCCAAGCTTTATTTGCCACCAGCTCAACGTCTTTCCAGATGCCCGACCTATCATCCAAAAAGCCCAGCGATCCATGCTTCATGACGTCGAAGTGGTGGCAGAGGAAGTTAAGAACTTGCTTGAAGCAAGGGCTATCTAGGAGGTACACTACCCTTGGTGAGTTTCCAACATGGTCATGGTACCAAAGAAGAATGAAAAATGACAGGTTTGCATCGACTACAAGACGGTCAACTGAGCTTGCCCCAAGAACAATTTTCCCTTGCCCAAAATTGACCAACTGGTGGACTTAACGGCCGGGCACAACTGGCTCAATTTCCTGGACGTTTACCGTGGCAACCACCAGATTGCCATGCATGAGCTCGACTATGAAATTACTTCTTTCACGACTCCAAGAGAATTGTTCTGTTATAGAGTTATACCCTTTGGATTGAAGAATGCCGGGGCAACCTTTCAGAGGATGGTTACAAAGATGCTCGCTCCCTTGCTTGATCGCACAATGGAGGCCTATATTGACGACATGGTTGTGAAGAGCAAATGCGCGGCCAACCACTTAGCCGACTTGGCGGAAATGTTCGCCATTCTCAAACAACACAAGTTGCGTCTGAATGCGTCGAAGTGTGCCTTCGGCGTGGGGTCGGGAAAATTCTTGGGCTTTCTGGTCACCAACTGTGGCATCGAGGCAGATCCCTCCCAAATCAAGGCCATACAAGAATTAAAGCAGTCCAACTCAACAAAGGACGTGCAACATCTTGCCAGGATGGCAGCCACGCTTAACTGATTTATAAGTCGGTCATCAGATCATTGTCACTCTTCCTTTCGAGCCTTGAAGTCCAAATTTTCCTGGGACGAAGAATGCGACAGAGCCTTAGCTGAGCTAAAAGTGTATCTATTCTCTGCTCTGTTGTTGGTCACGCCGAAGCAAGATGAGGAACTCTATCTTTACCTGGCCGTTTCTCACTATGCTATGAGCACGGTGCTTGTTCGGGCAGAAGGCACCCAACATCTACCGATATTTTACGGGAGCAAAACCTCGCTCCCGGTGGAGTCGAGATACTTGCTGCTGGAGAAACTCGCCTTGGCACTAATGATGGCCTTAAGGAAATTGGCACACTACTTTCATACTCATACGATCGTGGTGCTGACTGAGTTCCTTTTGAAAGCCTTGTTTGAACGAGCAGACTTCTCCGGCCGAATCATGAAGTGGGCAATTCGAAATCAAGTTTCAACCCCAAACCGCCATCAAAGCCCAAGCATTGGCCGACTTCGTTGCGGAATTCTCGTCTGGAATTCACCTGGTTTGCCCTGTGGATCTTACCGACGCAACCGGGCTGCAGGGGGTAGCTATGGCAAAAATCGCACAGCCTCCCATCCAACTGAACGTTGAAGGTGATGCAGAAGTTGCACGCCCGTCTACAGACCCATCACTTGAAGGCCCACTTTAACCTAGCAATACACCGTTGGATTTGGGAATAACAAGACAACCTGTTGGATACAACGCTGCATCGCCAAAAGGGAATGAAGGCATGATTTTATTACAATCGTCAAAGGCGCGCTTGCCGCAGAAGTAGCCGAGCAGCCGAGCAGCCGAGCAATTCTGATCACCTGAACCTTCAAAAGTCCCAGGACCCTGCCGA